GTACTTCCCTCACCGGCATGGCATTGCTTGGGTCCTCTCCATACATGAACTGGACTTTTACAGTGATATTCCTGGCAGATCCTTGGCGGTTGGCAAAGTTAAGGCTCTGTGGATAGACATAAAGTAGATTCCTGCAAGACACAAAGGCATCAAGTGATGAGAGGGTTCAGACATTTATTAATGCTGTTATTTAAACCCCTGTGGAAATAGAGAGTCAAAATGAAGGTTTTGACCCCTTATTTCAGACATCAAAAGACATAATTTTAAACTCTCATCATATTTTGAAATAGTTCCTGTTTAGAAAGGCACTTGAAAAATACATAAAAATTTCCCAGTGATTCTACAATATCAGAAGTTTAGGTGGAAATAAAACATGATTGTTCATATATAAAACTACTGAGAGGTATTTATTTGCTCAATACAAAGCAGCTGGTTTCTCTTAAATATCCCCCTCCTTGTGGCCTGTCCTTTTTTTCTTTTTTTTTTAAATCTCTTGACACCATGATGACTCCAGGTTACATCTGAAAATGGATTAAACTAAATAGGTATCTGTAGCTTCAGGTAATGACAACACTCCCAGGTATCTAAAGAACTGCTTCGGAGACCGAAGTAATAAAGTGCTCATCACATCCACAGGGAACGTGGCAGGATGTAATGGGAGGAAATTGCAGCACAGGAGATTTAGGATAGACATGAGGGAAAATGTTCTGGCTCTAAGGAGAGTTAAGCAGTAGAACGAATTGCCTGGGAGGGTGTGAAATCTCCATTTTCTGGTAGTTTCTGAGGAGAGGTGAGGCAGACACCCCTCCAGATGGGTTTATAGACAAGCCCCCTTCACTGGGCAGAGGACACACTTTGGAAACCCCTTTCAGCTCTGTTTCTTCAAGTCTGTGATTACTTGAACAGCGATGAGATGCAAAATTCTGCAGTATTTTCCATCCTCTGAGACCCACTGAGTCTTTGACAAGAAGGTGAAAGTTGGATTCACACTTCATTAGCAAAACTGTCCACTATAAGTCCCCACCTGCCTTATAAGCATATCATTTAGACCTGGAGAAAGTCCCTTGCATATTCTTTTAAAGTAAAAAAGACAACAGCCCCAAAACTTTTCCACTCAACACTCAGTTATTCAAAGGAAATGTACCTTCTTTAGCCCCCAAACAAGCCAAAATATATGCATTATTATACACCTTTAAAAGAGCCTGGAAATCCCTAATCCATCTCCCACATAGCCCTGCTCACCCCACCAGCATCATTCCCCCTTGGACATCCCGGCTCCTATAGCTCCAACCACAGGATCCAAGAGGGATGCTCACACTGCCTACTCATGTGCTGCCTTTATCTGCCAGGGATAAACAACTGGCACGTTGCATTTTACCCAAACACTGAAGAACCAGCTCTTTAATACCCCTGGTTTGTAGGGTAAAAGGAAAAGGAGGCCCCTTTCCCTGCTGTCCCCCTCTGGGAACTATTCAGCGGATCTGAACACAATTTTTAAGTAGTTTCCAACTGTTGCTTGTCCCAGAGAGACAGAAAACAACAGATGGGTACAGAAAAGTGAAGTGAGCAGCACAGCAGGACAACATTTAAGGCACAATAAAGCAGCTGCTGTGGAGTGCCGGCAACAGGAGGATGAAAACAAAGATACTCTTTTTTGGATTCTCAGGAGGGTGGTAACTCAGTGAAGGTACCTGGTCCCTTTTTAGATGCCATTGGTATCCAAAACACATGCACTGGGCTAGAGGTGGGACCCTCCTGGAGGAGCAGCTGGAAAGAGGGGCTGCCCTAAGCTGTCTGAAATGGCATCAGATGTCAATTTTTTGGCCAATGAATCCCACCCAAGGACTTGGTTCTGACAGCAACTCCATTTGCTCCCCAATAGCCATGGACAGTCCCGTCTATACAGACATGGGCTAACGCTGGTCCTATGGAATTCCCTAAGAGCAGTCCAGCTGTACAGCTCCAGACAGATATACAGGGTAGGGCTATGAACCTCTGCTTCACCCCTCCAGGCAGAGGAATATGCTTAGCTGGCATGTGGGAATTCCTTCCCTCTCAAGTCCTTCATGGTGAATTAAGTTTTTGAATCCCATCCCCACTGGTCACTTTGCCTAATCAGCGCTCTAGTACTATTTCAGAGGGGGCCTGTGCCATTTTTGTGACTCTCCTAAATTACTTTGTTCTGGCATGAATACATTTGCTCCTTGATGTTCTTTTTAAAATGAAAATGGGTATGAAAATTTACTCTAAAATGTACCTTGCTCATAAAACTTTTATTAAGTATTATTAGTGCTTAAGAGAAGGATTTAAGGTATTTGTGAAGCCAGGCTACAGGATCCCTATATTAAAGGCAGTCTTATGCTTGGACTGATTTATGCTGAGCCTAAGCTTGCAGTTCTGTCAGGGCTTGGCTGCTGGGAGGGAAGGAGACAACTCACTGGGAGCAGGATCCATTCCCCCTCGTCCTGTCCCTCCAGGCCCTTGTCCGAAGTCCCTCTCCAGCTCTCTTGGAGACCCTTTAGGCACTGGAAGGTGCTCTAAGGTCTCCCTGAAGCCTTCTCTTCTCCAGGCTGAACATCTCCAGCTCTCCCAGTCTGTCGTCTACTCTACACAGGCTTAAGTCACAGATTTTCCTGTCTAAGCACAGTTACAGGAGCCATGGAAAGGGACTGAGGACTGAAACACTGACAGGAACGTTAGAAATGTCTTGATTTCTAACAATAAAAGCTTCAGCCAGGAGCTTTAAACCCAAGGACTTGTGTCTGGAGCCTTTATTAAAATGCTATGCAAAATATATGCAAAGCTTACCCTATTACCTCAAACAGATCTCAAAAGTACTTCTACTTCCATAAAATGAATTGCTACAGTGCAAAGGCTTCCCAAGCCACGGAAATAATGGCACCAGGCACTCCTCTAAATATTTATGTAATGTGATTGCAGTCATCTTGCAAAATCCATCATAAAGGTATTAAAACATTAAGAGCTGATCCTAACTCTTAAGAGGGAATTCCTAACTATCATGAAAATGTCCCTTTTCAGTAAAACCAGAGACCTTTTGCTTTGCTTTATTCCTACTATAAAAATCATTTAAAGCCCATTTAATCAGGGTCACCCAGGTGCACGAAGGATCTCCAGGATCATGTTTGTTATATACATCTTTCCCTGACTGGGCTAACAGCCTTCAGAGGCAGGATTATCCCTTAGGGTTTCCACAGCTCCTGAATCTTATGGTTTAATCATGCCAGAAGCTTTTCCCCTCTCTGCTTTCCTATGTCCTGGTTTCCTTATGGACTCTGTGACTGTTGTGACATCTAAAGGTGATGTTTTGTAGTGAGCTTTTCACTGCCTGACTTCATTGGCCCTGCCATTAATATGGAAAAGTGCTTGGCAGCTAATTGTGATTTTTAATATTTGACATCAGAGTATTTTGACTATCTTTCCCCTCTGGAAAACAAACCTTTCTAAAGGGTAGTGTCACATCCAAGCAGCACAAGCAGCACATGGGACATGCAGGAGCTCCTCAAGCTGTAAACCTGGTTAAATGTCTGTTCTCCAGCTGCTATTTCTTGAGTAACTTCCTATGTTTTTCTAACGACTAAGCCAAGAATAAGGATTTTTGGGGGGTGATGGGGTTAGGAAGAATTCAAAACTATTTAAAACAAACTAGACAGACTTCTGGCAAGAAACAGTTAAAACAACAGAAAATTATTAATTTGAAACCCCATAAAACCAAAGCCACTTAAGTACTTTGAAGCTAACTGCAGAAATTCTATAATCTGGGCAACCTAAATGCTTATCATGCCAGAAAATTCTCTTTTAAGAAATCCCCATTCTCCCCAAAGTTGGGCCTGATGATCTCCATGCTCCTGCTATTTTTCTATATTTCAGATACTCCAGTAAGTCTGATCCAATACAAAATATTCTCCAGCAATTAACCTGAGATCTAAAATACTTTCACAGTATTTAATTATGAGTGGGGATGTTACCTGTATTATTACAAACCCTTCAACACACAGGAAGTTCAACATATTAGACAACAACTTCATTTTAAAAATATTTTTTCTATGGATGCTTCATGTCATACATGCATTTGTACATGAACAACAAAAAGTCCAGGGGAAGAATTACTAAACATACAAAAATCTAGCTACCTAAAAGCTCTCCCAAGTACAGACTATATTATGCATGGATTGCTTTTGATTTCTTGGATTGCTATGAGTGATTCCAGAAAGAGAAATACCTTTCACTCACACTGCAATACTACTCAAAAAACATCCATGTTTCCATGCAGAGACCCACTGTAGAACAGGGTATTTACTTCAGAGCACTTGCAGCCTTGCTTTATGTAGTGTGAATCTTAAACAGCAAAAAAAAAAGGGTAAGGTGAGAAATGTGAGATATTATTTATCTCACCCACCTCTGGAAAGCAGCTCTTAAAAAATAAGTTTTATATGGTGTAAATTACTGCACAAACCTTAACATAGTAGAATCACATCCAGGCAATCTCTGGACCTAATTCCCTCTTTCTCACTTAATCTGAGCTAGATGACAAGTAAATCCACTGCAGCACAATGAGTTACATCAGAAAACGGTACAAGATGAGAATCAAGTCATGTGAATCATCTGGGAATATTTTGCCCTTCCATAGCTTATCAAGGAGCTGCACAACCTGAACACCCAGTGCTCTTAAGTGTGGTAAATCCTTTCATACTCCTGAGGCAATAAAAGGAATCAAACAACACAAACAAGTAGCAATTTGAGTCCTTATCAAGATTATGACCCAAAATTAATCTATTAGAAAGAGTTGTGTGAAAAACACTACATCATCAATAACATTTTATAACAGAAGGTCTGGCAGGTGGAAAAGTTCAGAGCCAGTTTAATCAGCAACGTGCCCGTCTCTCAGTTTTATCTTCCCAGATATCAACCTACATCTGTGAGGGGTTACGTTCGTGCACATACACAGTTTAATGATCAACCCACCGGCCGCCTCTTCTGAAATGAAGAGGAGTATAAATAGACCCAATTCTGCAACTCAGAGCAACCACACAGCAAAAACTATTAGCGGGAAAAGTCTCTGCATCCTGAATGAGCAAAGAGAAAACATGAATATCACTCTGGTCCTACTATTCATGGCCCCCCTTGCTCTTTCAGCAGACAAGGATTATTTCTCCGTTGATTCTGCTGGATCTCCTGAGACCAAATCCAGATTTGCCATGTTGGATGATGTACGAATCTTGGCCAATGGACTCCTGCAGCTCGGGCACGGCCTGAAAGACTTTGTCCACAAGACCAAGGGGCAGATGAATGACATCCTTCAAAAACTTTACATTTTTGATAGGTCCTTTTACGAGCTCTCCCTGCAAACCAGCGAAATCAAGGAAGAAGAAGAACAGCTCAGGCAAACCACGGCCAGACTGCAGATCAACAACGAGGAGATAAAGAATCTCTCGCAGGAGATGAATCTGAAGATCGAAGACCTCATTCAAAACAAAATCCAGCTGCAAGAGAAAGTGTGGGGACTGGAGGACAAAGTCACCAAACTGGCCATCATCCAGCCTTTGATGCAAGAGACAAAAGAGATTTCTTCACTCAAAGTAAGTGACCTGTGAAAGGCCCTGACACACAGAGCCCAAAGTTCACTCTAACGCCATTATCAATAGTTATGCAACAGAAGCTTGTGCTTTCCCTTCTCTTCACTGTCATACTATTCTGTATTTTGAGAAATCACTGCATTAATCTTAAAAGAATCACTGTCTTAATCTGATATATTGTACATTTTGCAGTAAAATTCCCCAGTGAAATCAGTGAGAAATTGTGAAATTATAAAGCTCTGTATCATTTTCAGTATTTTTGCAAATCAAATTTAGGATATTTTGTTATCATGATGATAAAAAAGTCTTGCAATGGGGAAAATTATGTGATTCCCAAGCTGATGAGTTGTCATCATCTCATCCCAAATCAATGCACTAGGAACTTCCTGCTCAGTTTAGAAACAGGGAGTTTAAACCTTTAAAGAGGGGCAGCTATAGAATCCATATATCCACCAGGACCAAAGAATCTTACAAGTGTTGATAAAATTAATGTTTAGAGAATTATACCTCCAAGTATTTACATGGGTATGAGGTTTTCTATGGAAAAGGAAGTGTTAACTGTATTTTGCAGAAGCATAAAAAGTCTAAGAAACTAGTTAAAGAAAATACTGAATGTTTGTGTCAAAGCAGATGAAGCCCAATCTCCCAAATCCCAATCTAATACCCTAAACACTGGGAATTGTTCTCTTTTTTGGTCAGTGACATACACCTAATTTGAATCAAGGGCCAATCCCACAGAACATAAATTGTTCTGGATGTGAAAACGGAAGGAAAGCAACAACAAAAATGGTCTACAAAGCAGTTTGTCTTGGAAAAAAATGGGTGTTTATTACAGAAGGAAAGAAATTTGCCCCTTTAGAGGCAAAGCAGACACCCCTTTGAAGCTCGACTTTGATGATCCTTGTGGGTCCCTTCCAACTCAGGATATTCTACAATTCTCTTGAAAAGGAAGGGCAATGACCAATAGTTTGTGCCTCTCAAAACTGGCCCCTTGACAAGAGTTAGAGAGGCAGCACCACTGTGAAGGTCTTCTATTGCTCCTAACCACAACCACTCTTCCTTCCTGCCCTCAGGCTTTTGTGGAGCAGCAGGATAATGACATCAAGCAGCTTCTCAAAATCGTGGAGGACCAGCACGTGCAGCTTGACAGGCAGCACAACCAAATCAAGGAGCTGGAGGACAAGGTACAGGAACCATATCTGCTCCTCTTTTCACCTCTCCTAACACTGAAAGAGTTGAGGGCCTCATTCAGTTTGGGGATGTAGAGGAGAATATGAACAATTTTGAGCACAAACAGGTGAGAGGCTGCTGTACTATGGCCAGGAACAGCTCTGAGATATTGTCTCTCAACACCAGGTTGCTGCATTTTGTGACTGCTAATTTTGTTTTTTATCTTATTATCTATCATATTATTGTTCTTCCATTGGTCTTGAAGTCTCATTACTTTCTACCTCTTTCTGCTTTTCCAATATCCACTCCCCCAGGGAGCCACGTTCTGCAGTACATGTGTCACTGTAACACCAGGTATAACAGACATAGTCATATTTAACTTATTCCTAAGAGGAGGCTATAAAAGGAAAATGCATTTCAGCCTAAGGAACTGTGGGTTCTGTGCTCTTTAGATGTTGGTATTATTTGTGTAAGTGATGTCACCTGAGGAAATAAGTTAAATCTGTTTGCCCATTAAGGTGCTCCTCATGAGAATGGGTCATTTACTTGTCTCATGAATCCTACCTTGTCTGAGCAGTGGCTCAGTTGACATTCATGCACCTGAAATCCGCCAGTGTGGTGCTAAAGTTATTTTTATGTGGCAAATCGGGTATTCTAATGGATTACATTCACAAAAAAACTTATTCTCAGCACGGTATTATTCAGCTTGATCCACGAATCTCATCATTTCAGAGCCTCGGGAAATTAAGTGTAATTATGATTCTTTCAGCTAAATCACATAGAGCTCCAGGAACTCACAGAGAACTCCTTCATGGAGGAGCAACCAGAACCAGAGACTATCCCCTTTCCTGTGCTCAAAGCCACAGCTGGAAGATACAGATCTGATGGTGAGACCTCATCTCTCAGACATAACTACACCACACATTGCATTCACAGTATCCTCTGTGAAAGTTTTGAGTCAGTATTTAAGTCAAAGACTAAAACTAAAAGACTCTCATGTTATACACAGGGGTGTGGGAAGGAGCTACATTTCTTCCTTTGGAAAAAATACCATCACCTATTTAGCACCACTACAGGTGTACTTGTCTCTGGGGTGACCCATGAGAACAAAGTCCAATAATGCAGCAATCCTGTCCTCAGGATCCATTCACCTCTTGTAAATATGTGCTGTGGCCATCCTTTAACCCATGTCTGTGTTGCAGAGTATGATCAGAGAACTAATTTACTTCACACCATCTAATTAAAAGATTCAGAAGAGCTTTCTATACAGTTGAAAGGCAGTGGTGAAGCCCAGCAGGGGAAATGGTATTTATAGGGAACTTTACATGGGGTAGAAAGTCCATTTGTCAGAGTCTAGTCTTAGGCCTTAGAAACTTTCCAGAAGTCTCCAAACCGAAACCTTGCCTATCTTAAAAAAATTCAGGCAGTTCAACCTATGTACAACTTGGCAGTATTATTATGCTCAAAGTAGTCTCCCCATTCCATGGTATTTATTATAAAACTCCCAATATGATAATTCTTCTTTTTTTTTTTGTTCTCAACTTACCACACCTAAAACAGGATTTCTAAATGCCTGCTGTTTGCTTTCCCAGGTGGTGCTCCTGACTGCACTGCTCTCTATCACAGTGGTGAGCGGTTCAGTGGTGTTTACACCATTAAGCCCAACAGCTCAGAAGCCTTTGATGTCTACTGTGAAATGAAATTTGGTAAGAGCTGTGCCAGCAATAGTCTCATTTTCACATAAGTAGCTTCTTATAAGTCAAACAACTGTGTCTCATCACAAAGTACACAAAAACTTACCGTGATTTATGTATCCTCTTGACTTCTCCTACTGGCCTGCCTGTGCTCTGAACTCAGGTTTTCCATATCCTGAAATCTCCTTAACACTGCTTTCATTCTTTACTCACCTTACTCACCTTTTGCTTATACCAAGGACTTTCAATTATATGACATCAATTAAGTATATCAAAAGAACAAGCCCCTTTAGGCTATATAGATAAAGAACAAGCCCCTTTAGGCTATAGATAATTTATAGGTAATTATAAAAGCCATTGTACGGCAACCACGAATAGATCTCCCAGGGAAAAGCAAACAGTGGATGTGTAAATAGCCCCACATGGGGCTGCCCTGTGCAAAAAGCTCCTTTGCTTACATTGGTTGAAACTGGTGAAACGAGGGTGTCGTGACCTGGTCAGGAGAAAGGCCCCACTGAGCTCCAGTGGCACTTCATCCCTCCTCCAGAGCTGTACCAGCAGCCAAGCACTATCAGCAGAGCGAATCTGACAATCTGATCCAACGCCTAGAGCTTTTCACATCTCTTTTTTATCATCTTCTCTGTCTCTCAGCCCTCATAAATGAATGAAACCCAGTTAAGGCAGCCTATCAAAGCCAGTCCAGTGAGCTGAGTCACCACGAGCATGGTGAGGACACTCTAACGGCCCCACATTCTCTTCAGCTGGGCTCACTTGAATTCCCTTCAGGAAGATTTTAAGTAACTCATTCTACCTCAAAATTAGAACACCCAAGAGCACACTCATTGACAGGCAATAAGGCCAAGTTGAGACTCATTTCCCCTTTCCACAGGCACCTCCTGGACTGTAATCCAGAAGAGAGTGGATGGATCACTGGATTTCAACCAAACCTGGGATGCCTACACAAAGGGGTTTGGTGATCTCAATGGTAAATATGCCTTTTTTTGTCTCTTTGTATCAATTGATTTGAGAAGCTGAATCTTCTTATGGAGAGGTGTTCACATGAGAGCAGGCAAAACCTGCAGTAAGATCTGAACAGGTGACTGATTCAGCAGACTACCACAAAGCACTTACCAGAACACACAACTCAGTAAAATTCTCAAAGACACCCCTTCAATGTGTGTTTAGAAACTGAATCAGGCCAGAATGCTTTAAACGTTATTTTATCAAGATTTTACTACTGATAAAAGCACCACCCAAAGCCTTTAAAATATTCACAAACGCAAAACCTCACAAAGTTTCTGTCACTACTTTCTCTCAACCTCTGCAATCCTGTTTCCCCTAAAACCATGACAAGAATTTTTCCAACCTCAAGAGACTCGAATGCTGTGTTTGCTCCCCTGAGCAAACACATCTGGCTCCTCTGTGCGGTGGCCAATCCCCTCCATGGTGGCATAGGGTGAGGAAACACCCACATTCCCCCGTTAATCATCAACTCCAAGGAATCTGCAGCACCAAGAGCTGCCCAACAGCAGCTCTTTGCCCATCCAAAGTATTTTCCTTATTTTTCTCACAGAATTAGATGAGACTCCTTTTGTTTAGAAAATATTTTTACTTTCTAGGCACAGTGCAGATCTAAACCTCACCAAGGTGGGCAGCAGTATTGACTTATTTCCACATCTTTTACAATAAAGAGCTGCTGTATCTCAACCTTTGCCTCAATTTTGAGACAGTAACTCACAACTGAGGTAGATTTTCATCTGTACAGTTTTACTGATCATATTGAAAGCTATAATTGCTCCTTGAGTAGTCTCCAATTCCCAAATACAAGAGTAAGCCACACCTTTTCAGTGTAAGGTTTTACATTGTTCTTAGTTATGTCCTACTCAGTGCATGTTCTGAGGTGATCAAATATACCAGGTTACTGCTACTAACCTGCAAATGGTGGGACTATTTTACTCAACCATCTTATCTTCTATGGCTTTAAATGCCAGCTGCACACATGGCACTCACATTCAGCCACACTTTCTACACATGGCAATTACCTGCACTGATAATCACCTACTTAATGAATATAATATATGAAACTAATTAAACTAATTTCCAAGAATTCTAGTAAAAGAAAAATTCCCTTTTTACACAAGGGAACCCAAGTTTAGTTCTGCAGCTCTTTCCCTAGAAAATGCAACAATTGCCATTAGATTTTATGTATGTCATTTGCTTCATTTGTCACACAGTTCCAATTACATGTTTTAAATGTCTCCCTCTCAGAGTTTCACATGAGGTGGGAAAGTTAAAGAGAGAAGCTCCAGTTCATTTATATCTCTTGCTTTTATTGATCATTGGTGTGCAATTAAACAGAGGTAAACAAAAAGAATGTAGCAGCAGACCTCTGCAAAGATCAACAGTCCCCAAGACTCAAATTATTGATTTTATTAAAGCAATTAATAAATCCTTTTAAATACTATTTTCACACATACTACCTACAGGTTATCTGTAAAAGCAAACTCAATAGCAGTGTGAAAAATGTGAGTTTTTAGGGAAAGTGTATCACACAGCCCTTTCCCCACAAACTTCTGTCCCTCGTCCTCAGCTCTGACATCTCCCAGGTCTGCCCTTGTGCAGATTACTTGAACATATATTTTCAAATATTTATATTTTAAAGGTGAACAAGCTGAGGGATGGGTTAAAGATCTGAAATACATGGTGTATTTATGCCTAATTCCACATTAACAACATTTATTTACTCCAACTTTGCAGAGGAATTCTGGCTGGGCCTGAACAAGACCTATTCCATCACTAAACAAGGGGATTATATCCTACGGATTGAGCTGCAGGACTGGAAAGGAAACAAACGTCACATCGAGTACTTGTTCAGCTTGGGAGGCCCCGACACCAACTACACCCTCCAGCTTTCCCGGATCTCCGGGAGCATTCCCAATGCCCTCCCAGAGCAGACAGAGCTGCAGTTCTCGACTGCAGACCGTGATGTGGACACAAAACACGACTCCAACTGCCCACAAAACTTCCTAGGTATCAGTATGCTGGGAATATTAACATACGAATTGCTCTGTTGCATGAATTATAGGATCATAGAATCCTGGAATGGTTTGGGTTGAAAGAGACCTTAAAGCTCACCTAATCCACACCCCTGCCATGAGCAGGGACACCTTCCACTAGCCCAGGTTGCTCCAAGCCCCATCCAACCTGGCCTTGGACACTTCCAGGGATCCAGGGGCAGCCACAGCTTCTCTGGGCAACCTGTGCCAGGGCCTCACCGTCCTCACAGAGAAGAATTCCTTCCCAATATCCCATCTAACCCTGCCCTCCTGTGTAAATTACCAACATCAGAAACAGAACAGGCAGCACAGGTTGAAATAAACCCCCAGCATGAGATTTTGAGCTATGAAGCCAAGGGCAGTCCCTGCTCTGATGCTTGGTCTGGTGTGGCAGCCCTAGGTGGGATTGTTTAATGCCTTCTTGCAAGAAAACACAGAAGACAAACTGACTCTTAACTCCATTTTAACTACAACCCAAAAGTTAAGAATGACAGTGAGGTTCCATTCAAAGGCAGATTTTAGTTGTTTGCCAAGTATACATATTATAATCACTTTCAAAAGAGCAGGAGATGCAAGGCTCCTTAGAGATAATTTGGTTAAAGGGTTCTTAATGCTTTGATTTTCTAGAGCTTTTATGTTTGCCAGTTTATAGAAAAAAGCAAACAACTGAAAAAGCAATTAAATGATTAAACCACAGAATACAGAATTGCCCTCCAAGGCACCTGCTTCATGCAACAAACATTTTGTAGATCCTCCTAGGCTTGAAAATTGTGAATGTCTGAAACAATGCCCAGAGTGTCACTCAGCTCTTGGGTTCAGTTTTGGGTCCCCAGCAAGGGACCCAAGGAAGACATTGAGGGGCTGGAGCACGTCCCAAGAAGGGAACAGAGCTGGGGAAGGGTCTGGAGCACCAGGAGCAGCTGATGGAGCGGGGAGGGGCTCAGCCTGGAGAAAAGGAGGTTCAGGGGGGACTTTCTGGCTCTCTGCAACTCCCTGACAGGAGGGTGGAGTCAAGGGGGACCAGACTCTGCTCCCAGGGAACAAGGGACAGGACAAGGGGAAATGGCCTTAAGTTACACCAGGAGAGACTTCGATTGATATGATGGAAAACCCCTTCATAGAAAGGGTTATCCAGCCCTGGCAGAGCTGCCCAGGGCAGTGGTGGGAGCTCCATCCCTGGAGGGATTTAAAAGGCATGTGGATGTGGCACTTGGGGATATGGGTTAGTGGTGGCCTTGGCAGTGCTGGAGGAATGGTTGGAATCAGTGACTTTAGAGGACTTTCCCAACCTAAATGGTTCCACGATTTGGGTATACTGGGTAATCATCAATTCTAGAGTCTAAAGCAGATTTATGCTGCAAACAGGAGCTGTTCCTCAGAAACGGAGCAGCATGCCAGAGTACAAGTGGCAGTAACTGACATTCCCACTTTGTTCCTTAGGAGGCTGGTGGCACAGTGAGTGTGAAGAAACCAACCTGAACGGGAAATACGTCACACCAAGGTCCAGAGCAAGACTAGACAGAAGAAAAGGCCTGTACTGGAAGCCTAAGAAAGGAAGATACTACTTGCTCAAGTCAACTAAAATAATGATACACCCAACGGATTTAAAAAGCTTTGACTGAGGGCTCGACCTGATGCATTTTAATTCAGAACATACTCACTGAACATTACCACATCAAAGGACTCCATGTTTACTAACAGATGCCTGTCTCAATCCATACCCTGTATGGAGTCTTCTCCAATACATAAACCTGAGGCATCTGAGATGGTCTTACAATACATTTGGTGAGTATTTTTATTCCCTCAAGCCTCAATGTCAATGTGGAGCTTTTACCTCCCCAGGATGAATTCTAATGCTTCGGAGTCAACCACTTACTCATGTACTGAATAATATTGCTTGGGGGAATGGGTTTTCAGGCTGTTGCATTTGGTTTTGGGTTGTGTAGTAGGGAAAACAAAAAAAGTGTTTCAGGAAAAAAAAGGGCTGGCATGATGGTATGGAAAAACATTTAGGTGCTAACCTATAGGGAAAAAAAGAAATTTTGTTTCTTAAAGTAACTAATTTGATGTTCGGTTCATTTTACTGTTGTGGAATGTTTTTGTGAGCAAATGCAAGATGGGTAATTTCCCCTTGTAGGGCTCTGTGTACTCCCAGGCAAGTTCTCAGCAGTGTAGCTGAGGCCAATCATCTCTGGAGCACTGTACTCACACAGTTATAGGTGTGTGCACACACACACATCAGTGAGCCAGAGCGCAGAGCTGATCTTTTAGATACCACACTGAAAAATAACTTCACGACTACGGTTTGTTAAGAGCTAAACTTCAAAGCTTACTGAAATGAGTAAGAGATCTGTTCTTCTCATGGGAAATGAATCAGAGCCAACCCTTTGTGACTTCTTAGTACAACCAACTAAGAAACAAAATGAAAGACCAAGTGAGAACACAACAAAACGCCTTTCAAACAGAGAACAGCTGCCTGTGGGGCAACTCCAATGGGGCCAGTGGTACCAACCCACACACCCTGTAGGCACAGCCCATGTGACAGTGTTGGTCCAGCTCCTGAGGACATTCCCATGTTTAACTTCAGCTGCAGGACACTCTAAGGATCAGTCCTGAGGGATCCAGACCCCAACTGCAGTTACAGTGAGTCATATTGACTTGTCTATCTCACCTAACCCTTGTACAGTACAGATTTTTTATCTCAACATTTGCAACCACACAGAAAATGGTTTTAAATTGTAATTTTCCAGAGCAAACCAACTGTGAACAGAATGTGCTAATTACAGAAATACCACAAAGAATACTTCTACTTCTCATGGATTTATTATAAAGAAGAGATCAAGCAGTGCTGCTTATTTGTACTGGTGTATCGTAATGTTTCATTACCTGTCCAATAAATAAATAAATATAACTTTTCAAAAGATACAATATGGAACTTGACTAAACTCTTCTTATAAACTTTGGTTTATAAAAATTTGGCTTGTATCTAAATTTTACAAAAAGAAATAATGGATTTGGTAAGTCGGTGAAATTACTCAGCTGAAATTACTCAGACATGTAATGTCTTCAAAGATACTGTGAAAAAGCTTTAAATTAACAATGAACAGAAATCTGCTCCCTGTCTGGTCTTAGTTATAGAAAGGTTATTGTTTTTCAGGATATTCAGAAAAATTTCTTAACTTCCAAAGATTTTTTTTCAGGCATTGTAAACAAAGAAATTGCTTTTAAATCAAAATGGAAATACGAATGAAAACGTTATGTATTTTCTCCATTTTCCTTACTTAAAAGAAAAAAAGTCACTGAAAGTGTCAGAAAGTAGTAAAACCAGTAATAGAATGATGACTTTAGCAGATAGATAAAGGACAAATCCTACATAAAACTGAAAAGAACTAAATGCCATCTTGAATTCTGGGAAATGGTGAAATCTCTCACGTGCTCTTATGCACAGCCAATTTTGGTGAAAATATGTTTGTCCCTTCACAACTGTGTATCTTCTGCTGTGTCACTCTGAACCCTCCTCGTGCCTCTGGCACAGCAGATCTACCCAGATACCAAGTTTTGCAATGACCCAGGTGATAAGGTAGGAATTTCTAGACTTGCTAGTCTGAGGCCCTGAAATGTGAAATGTATTTCAAAGCTCTGACCTGTATGTGGTATTTGGAACGTAGACATCCCTGGCAGGAAACTCCAGGATTTCTCTTGTAGGTCTGACTCTGCTGTCTGGGTAAAGCTTGACTTGCAGCAGCTCTGGAGTGAGACAGTAGTGGGGGTTCTCTGGAGCTGGAGATATGTCTATCTTTAATTGAGCTGTAAGAAGAAAATTATTTTATTACAATAAATAGAAATTATTCAAACAAAAAAAGCATAATCATGCTTTCCTTCTTCTGATTAATATACTACATATTAATTCCATAAATAAACAAATGATAAATTACATCCAATGTGGATTTGTTAAAAACAAGCATCAGCAAGTCAAACTGATATCTAGGGCAACTGGGGAATCAGATAATTAGGACCAACAGGAAATATGTATCATAACAAGTCATAGATGATTTTTTCATAGGCAAACTGGGGAAATATAGTGTAGATAATGCTCCTGTGAGGGCCAACTATTGTTACAAACAGAGGAGGGGTATTGAGGAAGGGTTGAAAAACCCTGAGACTTGTCAGGCTACAAAAACAGAGGTGAATAGGATAAACTAATAATGGTATTCAAGTGCTTGAAAGGTTGTGATCACTACCCTGAGGCCATGGTAGACCACAATCAGTTTAATTTGCAGCAAGATAATTTTGCCAAGTTTTCTTAATGCTTAACCTGAGTGCAAGGGCAGCTGAGTGCTGGGGAGATGATCCAAGGAAGCAGCAGGATTGCTGTCACTGGAGATTTTTAAGAATAGGTTAAGTAAACATTGTCAGGAATAGCACAGGTCAAGGACCAGTTTCACTGCTGGTGTCCCATCGTTTCTGTTTCCCTTTCTCAAGCAGAGGTGGAGTCTGTTCCTACTAACCCAGGAGAGGGATCTCCTTTTGGATAGAGAGTGGAAAACAGGGTTCCTCAGTCTCTGGTGGGTTTTGGGCACTGGGATTTGCATCCTCCTCTCACAGATACTAGTCTCGGTGTGACAGGAGCTGCATGTGCACCTGTACCAGTGAAAAACCTGCCAAAACACACCTTAGTGCTCCTGGTCTGCCATGGATTGGCGTCAATGACTTCTTTAAGGTTCCTGGGTGACAACACCCAAGAACTGAGGAAAACTGGGAAGGATTAACCAAATACCTTAACATGTGACCCAAAAAGATCCCCTTGATACCTGTGATGGGTCTCAATCTCCGCAGCACCGATGACGGGCGTCTCATGTCAGCCAAGAACTTGTACAGATCCTCATCACTCAGGCGATCGCCCTCCTGTTGGGGTAGGAAGAATTTGGTTATCTAAACAATCCACCAGAACGGCCAGAGAGCGAATAAACCATCTCACACTACAGTCTCTTTCCTCTGACATCAAAATGTACCGCCCCAGAACAAGGTGTTAACATTAACATGTTAAATTACACTTCATTTCTCCATCCTTTTCCCTTCCTTTATCCCTTATTAATCATCATGACAGCTACAGGAACTTTTAATTGAAAACCTTTTCTCTTCCCATCAATATTATCTTTTTCAAAACTGAAAATGGCTGTTAAAAGATTTCCCCAAAAATATCCATTTTTTAAAAAGTATAATAGTTTGAAAAAGTATCTGTCATTCAGGTAGTGAGCCTCATTCCTTCTCCTCTGCCCTTCCTTTGGGATGAGCCTAAATGAATCTTACTTTCCAGAAGTGTAAAGAAACAGTGGGAAGTGGAAGGAGTGTTGTCAGTCTTCCTTGTACCACATTCTAGTAGCTCAGAGTTTTGTTAATTTTGCAAACATTACAGAAAATGTGATTCTGCCACTCTTTAACTACCCAAAAGCAGAAGCTATCTGCTAAAAAAGGTAATAAATCACAATATGAAAAAAAAAAAGCAAATGGAAGGATAAAAACACTGGGTAGTATTCAACTAATTAGACTTAAGAAAAAGAAGATAAGAATCAGAAATTTAAAATTTTAATGTTTGGCAGTTTTTTAAGGGCAAATTAATAAAACAAGCTGTTTCAAAGCTGTCAAGAGAAAACAACCTCAAAGTAAATAAATACAGGCTTTTTAAATCCTTGATAACTTAGTGGTCAGTGTGAAACGGTGTTTTACACCAGTTTTATTCCAACAAGGGCTGCAGAGCAGGTCAGGGGAAAGGCTGCATTAGCAATGCAGTAATGCTTTTTTTGCCTTACTTTTTTTCATTGCAGAATTGGATTTTGTTAATCTCCCAAGTAAAAGGAGCTTCCAGTGCTGTTCTGTCACTGACACAGAGCCCCATTTCACTCCTACTGAGTTTCATGGACACAGAGAGCACCAGAGGCAGGAGCGACCCTCACTTACATGCTCTGCACCAGTATGACCTGATGTCCCTGATGACGTTTCCCCTTATCACTACTGTATTTAACACCAGACTTTGGATGGCTCCCCACAGTGCAATTGGCACATAACCAAAACAATCAAGAAAAAAGGAGAAAAAAAAAAGAGCTTAGCCAACTTTCAATGGATAGAACACAAATCTTTGTATTCTCAATGAGCAAGAAATCAGACCAAAAGATATCTGCTGGTCACTGTAAAATCTGGTTTTATACACAAAAGTGACATTGAAATAAAAAGTTTTCTTAACAAGATGTGGCACTAAGCAAACCTTAGAAAACGGTTTCAGCTCATTACTTTTCGCTAAGCTTAACTAAAAATTTTATTCCATTAAATCATGTTTTCTACTTCTTCTTGGGAAAATTTCAAGCTTCTGGCTTAGAAGAGCTGCCACTCAGCAAAGCAGTATCAGAAGCAGAATGCTTTGGTTTCTTAGGGATCCCTGGATGTGTCCAGAGAACTGATGCCAACCTCAAATCACATTGAGGAACCTGGTTCTGAACCTGCTGATGTTTCAATCACCCAGTGAAACCAAAGAAATCAACTGACCATCACAGAATGGTTTGCATTGGAGGGGACCTTGTAGTCCACCTTGTTCCACCCCCTGCCATGGGCTGGGACACCTTCCACTAGAACAGGTTGCTCCAAGCCCCATTCAGCCAGTGACTTTTCCAGTGCATGTTAGAAAAATCTGGAGCAAGAAAAACTGCTGTTCTTCTGTGAGGACCCAGTTCTGTTAACTGGAGTGGTTAAGTCACTAAGCCATAACGATGCTTTAGCATTCAAGTCAAAAGCAGCCAATAATTTCAAGTTCCACAAGATAATTAGTTACAAATTTATTGAAAGAATCCATCAATTGACTGTGGACCCATTACTGGCAGAATATATTATATAATATTATAGAACTGGAAGAAAGTAGGCTATTGGGTAGAAATATCTGTGAGGCCCTGGCACAGGTTGCCCAGAGAAGCTGTGGCTGCCCCATCCCTGGAAGTGTCCAAGGCCAGGTTGGACAGGGATTGGAGCAACCTAGGACAGTGGAAGGTGTCCCTGCCCATGGCAGGGTGTTAGAATGAGATGAGCTTTAAGATCCCTTCAACCCAAACCATTCTGTGATTATATGATAATTAACATCTGATACAATAAACCCACTGCATGATGTTTAAGATCTCCCTGTGATCAGGGAAATATTACAAGCACCACAAATAAGTCATTCAGGTCTAAAGTGACTTCAAATGATCAAACCTCTCTGTCCAAGGAACAACTCCTTAATTAGACAGCTTCACATCGTACCTGTTTGAAGAAGTTTGTCACCGTCAGAGTAGCTGGTCTAAAACTGGTCAGGTTGCAAGCCTCATCCCCACTCGTGGTTCTCTCCAAGGAACGCCTCCCGACAATACTGGAATTCCTCCTCTCTGACCACGAACCTTTACGTTCTGCAAAAAATAAAGAGGGGAAAGAAATTAAAAAAGAAAGCAAAACAACAGTCCAAGAGCCTACTTTTGTTCCAGCCAGGATTTCCTTGATTGAGGATGGCAGAAGAGGTGGTTATGCTCAGGCAATCCCATCCCAGAGGCTGTGAAGCACAGCTGACTCCTGCTCCTCTCACAGCAACCTCACTGCAATGCCTTACTGCTATTATAAAGGTCTTTATCATGTTGAGATTTATGTATTTCTCTTGCTCTGAAAGATGATGAAGTTGGCAGTTTTGGGGATGCTGAAGAGCAGTTTCAGATGAGCTATGCGGTTCACAAAGATTAATCCACTCCTTTGGAAAATGTTCATCAGCCTGGAACACTCTCTCAGTCTTAGAAGCTTGGTTTTAAATAATATAACAGATGGTTTGCTTGTAAAATCCTTGAAAGATAAATCCATTTGTTATCATGGACTTTTCTGTTTTAGTTCAACCATGACCCCAGACTATCAGAAGGCCCAGGGTGGGCGGGGAGCAATAAAAGGAGCAACGGCAGCTACAGGGTATGAATCCAGACTTCAGTAAACTCTGGACTTGCCCACATTCCCTCATGCAGGTGCCAAGGACTGTACCTCCTGTGCCAACTTCGACTTCCGTGGAATCTCTTTCCAAGCTCCCAGCGCTGCTCACGATGTTCATCAGATGAATGGCTGTCCAGGCAAAAGGCATCCGATACTTGCCGAGTCTCTGGCAAAACTGCTCTGCCTGGCCTTTCAGTTTTTCCAACTTTTCCTTATTCTGTGAAGAAAATAATTCAATTCAAGAGATTAAAAAGAGAAGAACAGAAACAAAGGTTCATTTAGCAAAGTAAGTGAGGAATGATGGTGTCTTTTCTAACTCCCAACGACTGTTTCAACAGCACCTTCTAGAGGAGGATCACCAAGTGCTGTGGAAATGCAACTTCTGCTTCCCAAAACTGCCCTCAGGCCACCAGAGACAGGACAGTCTGTCAGAGCAGCCGTTTCATGCTTTTAACCCTTCTGAACGGCCTGTCAAATCTCAGTGAGCTCATCTGCCCACTGCTCCTTCAAAAACATCTGAATTTTACTCTCTGAAGTCTGAAATGGCCTTTCCTAATGTCAATTTATGCAGCAGGTACTCAGATCATCTCGAGTTGCATAGGGAACTCAAAAGATTGCTCAAATAAGTAGTATCATACTTTGTTGAGGAAAGAAGGGAGTAAAAGAGGATTTTTCCATAATTCTGCATATTGCTCTTTAGCAATTTTTTGCTTTAGAAAGGTTGTTACCTACAAGACTTTAAGAAAACCTCAGACAGGGACTGGGTAACAACAGAGAAACAACTGCGGCTCTAGATCAGGACATGCTTATGCACTTTGAAGGAGATGTTGAAAATTATCTTTTCACCCATATTCCCAAGCATCTTGCAAATCCAATTCCAAAATTTCACTTAGGAACACAGGAAATGGAGTTTTTTCACTTTTGTTATCTATACACCTGAGGTGAAAAACATTTATTTTTCATATTGTGGTACAGTGATATAAAGACAGACACAGACAAAAAAAATGTAAACTTCTTCACCTAAAATATATCTGAACTTTAGGAAGGAAATATTTTATTAAGAATTTGGTTAAAACTAACAAATGAACATTCCAGTTCCTTTGAAAAAGCATAATGGAAGGGCTCTGATCACAAGGGCTGGAATCTCTGGTTTGCCCTTCACCCAGTCCTCACTGTTACCTTTCGATCTTCACTTGGTTCCACCCAATTGTACACAAAATCAGGAACCATTTTTGATACTCTTTTATAACCCTTCCAGAGGAAGGCAGAAGTGATGGGGTTAAGCTGCAGAAGCAGCGGAAAAGTCAGAAATTTTGCTGCAAATTCCCAGCCAAGGCTTCCTTGACTTGACCCAGCTGTAAGCACAGAGCTGATCCTTTGGGATACGGGATCACAGATGACTGAGCTTCATGGAAACCATACATCTCCCCTGCCAGCCACAAAAACTGGTGACCTTTAACAACTCTACCCCAATAAGGCATCAAGATCCAAAGGTCTTTGACTTTTTTTTGGCCTTTAGAATAGGATTAGTTTCTTAATTAAAAATGGATCCTCTTAAAGGCAGAAAGAGTATCAATGGCTTTAACAGCCATTGTAAGTAAGTCCAAGGTAAAAGAAAATGCTTTATGTTAATAACAAAATAGTTATTAAGTGCTTGTAACAAACGTAAACAAAGCAATTCTTACCTTTGCTGCATCAGATTCTTTAAAAATCATATAAGGCTCTGCACACTCCCCAATATCTCCCTGCTGTAATACCTTTTCCAGCTGAAAAGGGAAAATAAACCATTATAAGGACACATATCCAGCAAGCATTGTTAAATTAAACAAACACTGGGAAGCAAAAACATTCTTTCACAAGAGTTAAAGCTTGATTTCCCTTTGTGAGTCAGGGAACAAGCACTGCACTCAAGTTGTTAAAACCATTAAGTTCTCAGATTTCCAGCTATAACTGAATCACAAGTGTAAAATATAGGTCCAAAGGGAACATATAAAAGTTTGGGTTTGAGCTGTTCTAGAGCCACTTTCAGCTCATTTTTAAGGTTTTAAAGACAGCTTACACTGTCTTCAGCATTATCACTTTAAGAGTTCTGTTCTTATCTCTATTCTCCATAATAAGGTCCTATTGCAGCAGTGTAAACAGGTGACATGGATGCACTCAGGGAAAACAAGCATTATTTTAAATCAGATAAAAATATCAAATAATGAAATAAAAAATGAATCAAATCAAATAATTAAAGTTAGCCACAGAGTCTATGTTTGCTGCTCAAGTCTCTGAGTAACAAACTACTTAACACGCAGTTCCTGATAGAAATATCTCCCCTATCATATGCCTGAAGACTGTTCCTCTTCAAACCATCCTGGCCCTTCCTCCCACACCCATCACTCTGCACATGCTGTTACAAGCTCAGAATATCTCTGACTTCTCCCATGTGCCATTCATACCTCTCTGTTAGTAGAACTTTGAGACTACCACAAAGTAAGGAACAAAACTACTTTCCATCAAATCTTGCATTCCCTGCTGAGTTTACCAGTAATTCCACTTGTCTGAAAAGTGATTTCCCAGTAAGACCCATGTAAAAATTCATCCAATAAGACACACAACGCATCTGTCTTATTTATCCCTGATTATATTATTTCCATCATCAAATCAAAAAAACAGCTACGCCACCAGCTCCTCTTGGATCACTGGTTTTACAAGCACTGATGTGCATTCAGAAGCTCTCTTGTCCAGATCCTCATAAATATGGGATTCTCCCTCATATCTTCTAAAAATCAGAGGAGTGATTCTTCCCTGTGAGGGTGGTGAGGCCCTGGCACAGGTTGCCCAAAGGAGCTGTGGCTGCCCCATCCCTGGAAGTGTCCAAGGCCAGGATGGACAGGGCTTCGAGCAACCTGGGCTAGTGGAAGGTGTCCCTGCCCATGGCAGGGGGTAGGACTGGATGAGCTTCCAACCCAAACAATTCTGTGTTTCTGTGACTCTATGAATACCTGTGCACAGGTAGAACATGATTTTCACAAAGAATTCAGAAAATCATGCCACAAATTGCAGATGAGAATATGCTTCGACACTACCGAAAGCCTTACTCTCACCTGGGATTGTTTTTGTCATGCCACAAAGCCTTAATTCATTTTCAAAAGATTATTCCTTGTGCAAGAAGCAGTTCCTGAAAAACAAGCACACTGCCTATGGTCTGAAAGTATGTCCTGAATTCCCCTTTTGACAACAGGATGATTTTTATGCAGAGACCAGACAAAAAGCCTGACTCAAATGCCATTCTGAACGAGCAACATTTGTGTGCTCACTGAATCAAATAAAAGAAGAGAGAATAACTTTTATCTTTGTATACTTTATTCCAGGAGTGACCAATGTTGCATTTTATTTCAGTTATGGATCTCACTCCCTTAGCAATTTCGGTTCTTAAATACATCTGAAAAACCTGGCTTAAGGGCATGTATCATTTTTTTAAATGAGATTCAGATCAATATGTATTTTTAAATCACTGACTTATCTATCATCTTAAGGAGTCAGCACATTGTTTCATAGGAAAACCAAGGTCAAGCCTGCTTACGCTGATTTATATCATCAAGCAAACCTTTGTGCTCTTCTCAGTTTCAATGCACATCTCCACCGAACTGTTGCTGTTACAAAGGAACTTAAGTGAGAAAATCTGAAATGAAGCAGAACTGTGGTGCCACTGTTTACACTACTGAGAACAGAATCCTGCTCTCCAAAGGCAAATAAATGATCCGGTCAGCCAGATCTGTTTCTATTTTATTTTAAATAAAAAACAAGAGGCAATAACAATTTAAATTTCTCTGGCATTTCTTACCTTTATTACTAGAAAGACATCTTGAGAGGGGTAAGTGATAGAAAATATGGCAGATCTGGCCAGTGTGGATATAGCAGCAGGGGGGACATGAGGCCGAAGCATTCCCTTCATTTGTTCAGAATTTAAATCGAAGTAGAAATTCTCTGAAATCTAAGGAAGAAATTGGGGAGCTTCAA